ACCACCATATAATGGCTAGGTAGGAGAAGGTGGACGAGTGGCCAGAGAGGTAGGAGGACACCTGCAGAGCATGTAAAGAAAGACAGGGAAGGAAGAGTTTCGGGAAATGAGGAGGAGTTAAAGAAAAAATCATTCTGACACTTGTTAAAACAATAGGAAAGACTTTATTCAGGACTACTGCAACAGGGGAGAGAGCTCTGACTCAACTCTGAATACAGCAAGGACAAGTGGGGATTTGTAGCCAACAAGCAGAGAGAGGGAGTCAGTGGATGGAAAATTACCAAGAGGAGACATCAGTGGTATGGTAATTCTTGCTGAACCAACCTGACAGAATTCTTGCTCAAAGTGGGGGATGAGGACCTTGGTCAGTTATCAAGGTTGAGGGGCTTCTTCCTAAATTGACTTAGCAGGATTCTTTGCTAAGACTGGGCTGGGCAGACCAAACATAAGACAGGGGCCAAGGTTGACGCCTAGTCTAAAAGAGGGCCCAGAGGAATCTGACTAAAGTTTGATCAAGGAAAGAATCTCTGTCTCTCTCTCTTTTTGTTTTGGTGAGGAAGATTGTCCCTGAGCTAAGGTCTGTTGCCAATCTTCCTCTTTTTTTCTTTTTTTTTTTTGCTTGAGGAAAATTGTCACTGAGCTAACATCCATACAAGTCTTCCTCTGTTTTGTATGTGGGAAGCTGCCACAGCATAGCTTGTTGAATGGTGTGTAGGTTCGTACCAGGGATCTGAACCTGCAGACCCCGGGCTTCTGAAGCAGAGTGCACGAACTCAACCATTACACCACCAGGCCGGCCCCAAGGAGACAGTCTTTGTCAGGGGTCAGCCCATTGAGAGCTGCAGAGATGAGGACTGAGAAGTGTAGCAACGTGGAGGTCACTGGTGGCCTTAGCAAAAGCCGTGAAGAGTTTGAGGATATTTTTCATATAGTTCCATGTATATACTGAAAATACTTGATTTTAAATATAATTCCTTTTGTATATCCATGTAAGGAAATATTATGTAACCATAAAAATAATGAGATAATTATTTATGTAATGATATGGAATGATTGCCAAGCTAAATTTTTAGGTGAAAAAAGAACATCATGTAAGTAAATTAGCATTTGTATAAAAAAGGAAGATAAAAATACACTTACATATGTGTGGGAGTGTGTCCACATATGTATGCATTTGCCGGTGTATACATAAGATGCTTCTAGAAAGATATACAAGAAACGGAAAGCATTGGCTGCCTTCAAGGAGAGGAACTCGATGACCTGGAGCAGGGTTGAAAGGGAGACTTTTCAATGAATAGCCTTTCGTACCTTTTGAATTTTTGTACTATGTGCAAGTAATACTTATTTTGAAAATTAATATGTAAATATTCTTTGTGAGATCATATTATAATTATATTATGATTCCCATTTATTGAACATCTGTTCAAATGACAATACAAGGAGATCTGTCTTCATTTTTGAATTATCATATACATCCCATTTTATAGACAAACCATTATTTGTCCAATGTCTCCGAATTTCATTATTGTAAACTACACTGCAGGGTGCATCCTTGTACATTCATATTTGTACAGACACAATTCTGTAGCATAAACTCCTACAAATGAAACAAGATACTTTCACATTGCCTTCCGGAAAGGCTGTTCCAGGCCTCACACCTTCCCCATCCACACCAGTGTGTACCCGTTGTTCCACGTATTCTACGACACTGAGGATTGTCTCCAAATTGTGTAGGGTATCCAGTGTGGCACAGACGATGCCAAGTGCTCACTTGCTTTTCCTCTGGAGCACACAGGTAGGCTACATTTCCCAGCATCCCTTGCAGTGCGGCAGAGCTGAGTTCTGGTTGATGGCAGTAGTGGTGTGCACCAGCACGTCTAGAACTGGCCCCCAAAAAACCTCCCTGTGATCCTTGAGCTCTCTCTCTTCCTTTATCTGCGTGATGGGTGCAGAAAGTCAGGTGGAGGACTCTGAGCCTTAGAGCATTACTGGGTTGAGCAGGAAAATAAACTTTTTCCATACCCATTGCTGCCCCACCCACTCCCTCTGAATTGGGATTTGATCCCATTATCAGGACCTCACACCTGTCATCTTCTCAAAGGGCATTCCCTAGCACCCAACTTAGCACAAACTCTTGCAACCACCTCACTTATTTGAGCACCTTGAGGGCTCTGGCAGTCTTCTGAAGTTAGCTGATACTTGTATTTCCCATGAACCTTCTTCCCCAGACAGTGATGCAACCTTCATAGACCTGGCTAGACTACTTAGGGCAGGAGGTGAGACACAGCAGCAGGTGACCACTAGGCCCCTAGACCTCAGCCTACCACTTCACCACCATTCTGATGGCCCTTATACTGACAATGACAGCCACAACCGCACTTCCAAGGTTGTGACCGGAACAAAGCATGGTGACCACCTCCTTCATTCATTCTAAAATATTTATTGAGCACCGAGAACCAGACACTGTTCTAAAGGCTTTGGATATATCAGTGAACAAACGAGACAGATTCCTGCCCTTGTGGAGCTCCCATTCCAGTGGGAGAGACAGACCATAAACAACAAACCTAATAAATAAGTGCCTTATATGGTATGTGAAGAGGTGATAAAGGGGAGAGAGCAGGTTATCAGAAGTGCAGGGCAAGGGGCAGGCATCTGTGCTAACTAGGGTGATGAGAAGGTGACATTTGAGAAAAGACTTAGAGGTGACAGTTAGTCACATGTTTATCTGGGAGAAGTTTCCCAGCAGAACAATTATGCAAAGGCCCCGAGGCTGGGCCAAGACTGGAGTGTTCAAAGAGCAGGAAGGAGGCCATGTGGCTGGGAACTTGGAAGAAAATGAGGTCAGAGAAGTAATGATGAGGAGGGTGCCCAGACTGCACAGGGCTTTGGAGGCTACTGGAAGGATTTTGGCTATTGCTGAGCGAGATGATGGGCCTTTGCACAGTTTTAGACAGAGAGGTGACACATATTCTGATTTACATATTAAAAAGTATCCCTCTGGCTATTATATTGAGAACACACTCGGGATGGGAAGGAAGTGGAAACTGGGAGAGGAGGGGTGTGGGGGCCTGGCTGCTGCAGAATCTCAGTGAGAATGATGCTTGTGCTGGATTTGGCAATGGGAGGCAGTGAGACGTAATTGGATTATGGATATATTTTGAAGAGGGAGCCATCAGGACTTCCTAATGCACTGGCTATTGAGTGTGAGGGAAAAGAGGGGCCAAGGAGGCTCCAAGGTCTTTGGCCTGAGCAGCTGCAAGAATGGAACTGCCTGAGTTAGGGAAGGCTGAAAGGGGAGCAATTCTAGGAGCAGAAGCAGGAGCAGGAGCCCAGCTCTGAATATGCTAAGACTGAGATGTTTCAAGACATCAAAATAGAGATGTCGGGTAGGCAACTGATATGCAAGTCTGGAGTTTGGGAGAGAAGTCCGAGTGGAGATCAAATTTCAGAAGCTGACTACCTCCCATAGTCGCTGTTGCTGTTTTTCCCCTGAGACATAATTTGTGACTCACAATGATGAATCGCCCATCGCTGCATCACTCTGAATGATATGACTTAAGTGTGCAACTTAAGTACATGGCAGACGTGTGTTAACAGTCTGTCTTTGACTGAGGATTACCTGTTTTGCTTTGTATTGAGACAGTGCTAATTTAAATTTTAATCTTATGAATACGGTGACTATGTTTTTAGCAGTTCAGAAAATGAAAATGAGAATGATTACGATACCAACACCAGCATGGCCCACATATCACCAAAAACACAGACTAAGTGATTGTTATTTTAATGACAAGTGGGAGGACACATATAATTGGATTAGGAAATTAAGTAACCAAAACAGAGCATACTGCACACTATGCAGAAAAGAATTCGGGATTGCAAAAGGGTATATGAAAGCACATATGGAGACTGAATCTCACACGTTAAGGATGAGCCAGGCAAGTACTTCTAAATCTATCAAAAGTGGGTTGTTGTTGTTTTCTTTTTTTTGGTCTCCCCCAAAGACTCCAGTGCTCAGCTGAAAAGAGCAGCTACTGAATTAGCTTGGGCACACCACACAAAGACACACCTGTTAGCATATTGTTCCCTTGACTGCTCTATGGAACTGAGTAAAATTACATTTCCTGATTCAGGTACTGCAACTAAAATGTCCTGTGGGCCAATGAAAAGGGAAAGTCTGATCACAGATGTGTTGGCCCCTTACAGTGAACACTGATTCAGCCAGGTCTCACCAGCGGTCATGCTTCTACAGTTCTTCAGCTGTAGCGTGGCGGCAACAGCAAGTGTGCCCCCTACCTCTTAGGTACTTGGATTTGAAAAATGAAGTTTCAAATCATCTTCTTAATTTCTATGAAGGCTGTAACGAAACTGCAGAAAAGATAAAACAAAAGATCGCTGATCTCTTTCCAAATACAAAGTAGACTTGGCTTATTTATCTGCATATTTGGCAGACAGTGCAAATGTAAATTTTGGCAAATCCCGTTCAGTCTATAAGCTCCTTACCAAAGAAAATGAAAATATCTTACCTGTTAAGTGTCCTGGACATCTTGTGGACACCATTGCTACAAAGAGAGGTGGTTTAGTTACCTACAGTATCGAGGCTTTCATAACGTGCATTTTGGTCACTTTTCCATTTCCTCAAAATGTTCAGAAGAATTCAACAAGGTTTTCTACTTTATCACTTTTACTTTATTACACAAAATTCACTTCGACTGTCAGCAAGCCCACATCATGCTGATTCTTGGTGTCAGTCCAATGTGATGACATCAAGATAAATATCCTGTCAACCACAGCATTGAACATGGGATAATTAGGATTTTCAGTTTTTACCACTACATAAAAGGACATCCCAAAGACTGCAGGCAGTTTAGAGAATTATTACTGGAAAAGGAAACAGACAAAACAAAACTATTTTACTGTATCACCAGACAGAAAGGAACATGTCATTGTTCTTTTTCTTTTTTTTTTGGTGGGTCCTTTTAGCTGTGGCATGTGGGATGCTGCCCTAGCATGGCCTGATGAGCGGTGCTAGGTCCGCGCCCAGGATCTGAACCGGCAAAACCCTGGGCCTCCAAAGCAGAGGGCGCAAACCTAACTACTTGGCCACAGCGCCGGTCCCTGTCATTGTTATTTTTCACTCAATACGGGTTATAGCCATTTTAGTTAGTCCTATTATATTTACATTCTTCTTTGTAAGAGTCTTGCATTTGTGTATCTTGAGAACATAATGCTCCCCTGGGCCTGGTTCCCCAGGGCTTGTGTGCTGGTGGGTATAGATTCTTTGGGGCTTGCTCTGTTTCTTCATTCTTCTGATCTGCATTCCCCCTTTTCCTCACCAGCACATTGCACTGCTGCATCACAGTCATAGCGTTATTTTCAGTGGCTTCTCCTGGAAAGTATGAGATTGCCTTGGGACTATCCACCCACGCTCTGCAAGGGCAGCTCCAGTGGCAGTGTCCAGGCCTCTGCCCTTGGGAGCCTCAGGAGGACACAAACTTGTCTAGGCCTTTGGCATTTTTCCTACTTTTTAAAAAGTTTCAGGATGATGTTCTTTCCTTCTGTCCAGCTGACCTGACACACCATGCATCCCATAATTTCTGGCCCATCAGAGAAGAAGGAAGGGATCTGAATTATTTAGATCCGACCTTATTTCATGTCACCCACCTCATTGGGAAACATTCACTGGGTTAAAAAAGAAATGCCACTGTGACACTCAGAGGCTCCCCAGACTCCGCAATCTCTGTATCCTCAGGGGCTTCAGAATAGGCCCAACAACTTTCAGAACCTTATTTCCAAGCAAGTTAGTATGATAAAATACAGTCAACTAAAAATGAGGAATTTCACTAGGACGGTGGTTCTCAGCCTTGGCTGCATATTGAAATAGATTTTAAAATCGGTATTAGATAGATAGATAGATTTAGATATAGATGTACCGATGTCTGGGTCTCACCCCAAGAGATTCTGATTTAACTGGCCTGGGGTGTGGCATCAGGACTTTTTTTTACAGCAGTACACTTTATGGCAGAAGCCAGCTTTCTTTCTTTCAAGATTATTAATCTCCTTAGAGGATCTGGCTTCTATTTGCCCACATTCTGCTTCAAAGTTTTTGACAGACAACTAGGTGCTTACCCACTGAAGGTAAGTGCTGCCTGAAATATTTATTATCATTATCATAGTGATTATCTTTAATCAAAGTCAGTATGTTCAATGGCAAGCAGAAAATCCTCAGTTCAACTGCCAAGGGTGAAATGGAGACCCTCGCAGACTCTGCTTTCTGGTTAACGTACGCCACTTCCTCACCTCCTTACTCCTTTCATTGGCATATTCTGCCTCCTCAGAATCCTGAGTGTCATCACCTCACTCAACCACTTTAACATCTGCACACATCCCCCCACGTTGCCACCTGTCCCTCCCCCTTACTGTTCCTAATACTTCCCCGTCCCTCATGCCCACCACTTCAAGGTGACCTCCTTGGTTGAATGTAGCCAGTTTGTGAGCTGAGTCATGCACTGGGAAAGCATTCTTGTTATCTCAATACCTCCACCAATGGTGGCTGTGGTGGGGTGCGCTAATGGGTGGCAGCAGTGACAGGCAGCAGAGAGGGTCAAGTTTATGGTGGCTGCGGCTGCAGCAACCACGACAGGCTGAGGCAATGGTGGCTGTGCCAATGGATGGTGGCCATTGAAGGGAATGGCCACAGGTTGGCTACCACTGAAGTGACCCAGTGGGTGACAGCAGCTGAGGCAGCTTCCCTTTGCTGGAGAGCTTTTGTTCCACCAGAGCCCACTCTTTTCTGTGTGCGTGGCAAGCAGGAAGTGGCAGGAAACTAAAATCCCAGACCCCTAAGAAGCCCTCAAAAAAAGGGCTAACGGGGCTTAGTGTATAAACACCCTCACCCCTTGAGTAGCAACTGTATATTCTCCACTGTTACTCAGAGCTCCCCAGGGAATTAAGCTGTTGCCCACAGGGATACATTGCTTGACAATGCACCCGTGAGGTGTTGCTTGCCCTTCCCTGTCTCACTTCCCTCTGCCCTCCCAATGCTTTCTGGGATCATCTCCCAGATTCTTTCCTCAAAGTCTGTTTCCAGGGGAACACAAGCTACGATAGCGCATCATGAACCTAGGATTATGATTCAAGCACATATGGCACAAAAACAAAAACTGACATGTGCCAAGCCACAAAGTCTCAACATATGTCAAAAGACTGAAATCACATAATATGCTCCCAACCCAATTGCAACTAGGCAAGATAACTAGAAAAATTCTGATATAGTTAGAAATTAAGAAACACAATTCTAAACTTCTAAATAATCTAACAGCAATTTAAAAAGTAAAATAGAAAGCCATGCATTGTGGAAAATTTAAGTGCATATATATTTTTAAAAGGCTGGAAATCAGTGAGCTAAACTTTCATTTCAAAAAGGTAGAAAACAGAAAATTAAATCCAAAGAAAGAAGAAAATAGCAAAGGGAATTCACTGAATTAAAAACAAATACACAAAATAGAGAGCACTGGCCAAGCCAAAAGTAGACTCTGTGAAAAGATTAATAAAACTGATAAACTCCTATCAAGACTGACCAAGAAAAAAAGGAAGAGGGTACAAATAACCACTGTCAGAAATGAAAAGGGGTTTTCACTTAGAGCCCCTTAAAGGGGCTTTAAGATTCTACAGACCTGGGCCGGCCCATTGGCGCAGCAGTTGAGTGCGCACGTTCTGCTTCTCGGCAGCCCAGGTTTCGCCGGTTCAGATCCTGGGTGCGGACATGGCACCGCTTGGCAAAAGCCATGCTGTGGTAGGCGTCCCACATATAAAGTACAGGAAGATGGGCATGGAAGTTAGCTCAGGGCCAGGCTTCCTCAGCAAAAAGAGGAGGATTGGCAGTAGTTAGCTCAGGGCTAATCTTCCTCAAAACAAACAAACAAAAAAGATTCTACAGACCTTAAAAAGATACTATGGGGGTGATTATAGTTGATAACACTGTATTGTATAATTGAAATTAGCTAAGAGAATAGAACTTAAATGTTCTCACCAAGAAAAAAAAAGGTAAGGCTATTATGAACAATTTGTGGCAATTTGATAATTCAGATCATGTGAGAAATTCCTAGAAAAATACAACTTATTAAAACAGACCCATGAAGAAACAGAAACTACAAAGTTTTCATGGTAGCTAAATATGGCACAAATTCTTTGCAGCCACATGCCATCAAGAGGTGAAGTCTCTCCATCCTTTAATCTGGGTTGGCCTCATGACTTGCTTTGACCAATACAATGTGGTAAAGGTGGTAAATTTGAGGTTTCCATTTTTGTTCTCCTGACACCTGAGACCACCTGAACAGAGTTCATTGACCTCCCCCCACCTTCCAAGGACACTGGGCCTGGGCCCCACACAAATGAATGTGTCTGTGTCTGGGCTCAGGTCCAAAGATGGTCACTTCAGCCTTGACTCTAATGCACAAGTTACAAAAAATACATCCTGCATCATGTTCCTTGTCTGGGCTTGCCAACCCAACGGGCACCTGACAGGACTTTAGAAACATCCCATCCGTGGGAACAAAAAAGATAAAAACACCCCATCCGTGGGAACAAGAGGAAATAACTCTCAAAATATCCAAATGTCTGAAACCCTGAGTAGAAACCCAGAGAAACCTTAGGATAAAAGGGAGTAACAGGCATAGAACAATTGGAAGTTTCACTGAGGAAAGGACGCTTTGCCTCAGACCCGGACAATCAGCACTCCCACCCGCCGTACAAACTGTTGGGACTTCCCCGGCTGATTGTGGTGTGGATGTTGTAAGTACCGATTTGTTGTTCCCCTTTATCCCTGCTCCTTGTTCTGTTTCCCTTTATCGATAAACTTTGATTGCTTAAACAACCAAGTAGCCTTGGCGGTACCTGTCATTCCTTGCCCTTTGCGGCTGCAGGCACCACCACCATACAAGGAAGCTGGTCTAGTTTACTGGAAGAGATGCCACTTAGAAGAAATGTTCTAAAACACAGTCTTGATTTCCATTTTGTCTGTTGTAATCATACTTCTTTTAGTTACATGGTGTAGAACCCCACTTTAGCTTACGATGCAAAGTGAGGTTGGCTGAAAACGTACACAGAAATCTGAGGGCGCGATCCACAGCGCAAGGATACTGCAGCTGGAAAGAGAAAGCCACCAGGACAAAAGCAGCCCTTTCAGGGACCACAGGAACTGATCACAATCCTCTCTCCGCTACCTGGGTTTCCTCCTGTTGTGGCCACATGGCTTCTGATGGCTCCTGCAACCCTGGCTGCATAGGTCTTCCACCCTAGCTCCTAAGCCAACTGACAACTTCCCTTGTCTGAGAGATCAAATCCCCAGGGGAGACTCCAGTTCATTTTTCCAAACCAGAGCACAAGCCTTAAGTGTCCAATGGCCTGTTCGGTCTGTGCTGACCAGTCACTTCCAATTTTCGGAGGCTTGGAGTCACCTCGAGGGAGGAGCAACTTGTCTGAAGGCTGAAATTGGGTGCAGGCCCTGCACATGCTCAGCTTAGAGCTCTGGGATCTCTCTCTCTCCTGTATACTTGCCTATCTGCCCTCTGCCCTTTAGGATCTGCCCCTGTTGGGGAGCCTGTGATCAACCAGCTGTGCCCACGGAGCCTGTAATCCTGAGGAGAAGCGTTAAGAAGCTGCAGCAGCCACTGCTGGTACCTGCCCAGCTTCACTCGGCACTTTCTTCTGTGTGCTGAAGCCTGCTTTTGGTTCCATTACTCTCTGCTCAGGCTCTCTCCTGATGGCAGGAGGGCACTCAACTACACACAGGGCAGGCAGACGTGCCAGATGGTCAACACCCTTGAAAACAGCCCTCAGTGACAGATGGGGAGTTGGCGGATATACACCCCAACTTCTTACCATGGATAAGGTGACTGAGGTGTGCTCTACACAGTCTCCCGAAGTCCCCAGTGGGATTGAGCCCTAGTTGCCCACAGTGGTAACTGGCTTGATAATGCACCTTTTATTGGCTGCTTCCCTCTCTATCTCACCTCTCCACTCCCCTACGAGTGTTTCTGGAATTATGTTCCAATATATTGTCTGCACTCAAATTCTCAGGGTTGAACTCTGGAAGAATGCAAAGCAAGACAGAACAGAAGTCCAGTGCAGGAGACTCTAAGCCACATTCTTCAATGCAGCTGTTTTCAATAATAAAGCCAGTGCTTTCATTTGCATGCCTAATGCCCATGTCTATTGCTCAACTGCTTCTGAACTCAGGAGGGAAAGAGGTGTGTTATTTATTGCCCCTAAGCCTCAAGTAAACACTCAATAAAGACTTGATAAATGCTAGAGTGGAAGACAGAAAGAGCCTTTCCCCATGTCCCTGCAGCAGGGGACAGGAAATGGCTGCTGGCAGAGTTAACAAGGGAAGAGGGGTCCTCTTAACCCTAGTGAACAGACAGAGCCCCCGCCCAGGCCCTTCTTTGGCAAACTAAGTGAAGCTGGGGGACAGGGGACCAGGGTTTCTGCCCAGCCAGCTCTCCTAGGGCCCCCTCAGGTGCTGAAGGCAGGAATCAAAGCCTGGTACACAGAGTCTTCATTTATTGTGAGTTCTGATGTCCAGGGAAGCCAGGCCCACATCCGAGGCCCTCATGACCTCATCTGGCCACTCTTCAGGGGTGGGGGCATCAACAAGTGGACAGTCACTCATGTCCAGTTTTCCTACAGTCCAAAGAGTCCTCAGGAGGCGGGAAGTGGCTGTGCCTGTGGGGAAAACACATCAACATCTCCTAGCACCTCTTCTGTGCCAGCTCTGGGTCCACTGCTGGGGAGATTATGTAGATACAGCAGAGGCTGCCCTTGCAGAGCCCACAGTCTGGAGGGAGAGGGCGTGAGGTGACAGCCCTGGCCACCTGCCATATGAACACATCAGACACAGTGAACTGTCAATGGGAGCAGGGAAGGCACTATTCTACTGTATTACTGAGCACCTGCTGTGTGCCCAGCCTTGTTACAGGTACTGGGACCCAGTGATGGATGCAGCAGGCACAAATCTCTGCCTCTAGGGACAGACAACCAATGAACAAAAATACGTCAACCAGTGATAAATTGTAGGAAGAAAGCTAAATCAGGATAAAGAGCAAAGGTGTGTGTGGACGGGGAGGTACAAGTCGCACTTTAAATTGTCAGCTACATTAAAAGGAGACGTTCTATAAATTTTTTACGAGATGAGGCTGTTTGTGTCTCCGCTATTTTGTAAAATAGAGAATAGAGGAGGCCTGAATCTCACTGCCCCCAGTCAGGGAGGAAAAGTTGTAACTGGGATGCCATTACCAGGAAGGAGGAAGAAGCGAGGAGGAGCTGGGTGTGGTGTTAATCACTCTGGGTACACTGAGAAGCCACAACAAGGTTTTAAAGGAGAGAATGTGACCTAATCTCCAATTTTAAAAGCTTCTTTGGCTGTCACGGAGAGTAGATGGGGGGGGGGGGGGGCGCGGGTGGCAGGGGTGGCCACAGGAAGACCAGGGAGAGGCTGGTTGCCTGTCCAGGGAGGGAAGGAGCAACTGGCCCTAAGACAGAAGGGTGAGGTCTTTACTGTTCAGATGTTCAAAAAACTTGAAAGAAAGAAATGTCACCAAGATATGACTAAGAAACTAGCATGACCAATATGCAATCATTACTGAATATTTTCTGAGAAGAATTAAAAGTCCTTCATGCTGGTGTCTGCCTTTGGGGCCTGAACCTTTCACTTATCCCTGCCTCATTAAAACACCAATGACTACAGGGCCTGGTAGAAGGGCATCTCGCCAATCTTCAGCCAAGAATTCCTCTGAAATAGGTGATGGGAGGGAGGCAGTTATAAGGCAGTAAGATGTAAGCCATGATGGACAGAGCTCAGGGTCCTTGGGAACCCAGGGACGAGGATGGGCCATCGGGGAGGTTTTCTGAAGAAGGTGACATTTAAGCTGGAATAGAATTAGCCAGATGGATTAGGAAGGGCAGTCCAGACAGAGGAAAACAGTAGGATAAAAGCCTGGCAGCAGGAGAGACATGCACTTGAGTAACTGCACGTTCACTGGGGCTGGAACATGGAGCCTGAGGGAGAAAGTGGGGAGGTGGGCCACATCCTGCAAGGCCCTATAGACTGTGCCAGAGTTAAACCTGGCCTCATGGAAGTGAGGAGCCACAGAAAGGCTGTTAAGTCAAGAAGAACATGGTCTGATTCCTCTGAGATCACTCTGGGATCATTACAGAGGATGAACCGAAAGGGATAAGATGGAACATGGATGCTCAGGAGAAGGCTTCTCTTCTAAGTGCAAAAAGAGAAGATGGGGCCACAGGGACAAAGAGAGGAGCAAATGTGAGGGTGTTCAGAGGGGGCTGGTGAAAGGCATGACTTTTGCCTTTGGAGCTTGCAGTCCCGGGGGTGAGAATAAACAGCTAAACAGTGTTTCTCAACCTGCTCTTCACTGTTGTCCCCCAAGGAGGCTTTTAGACATTTTTAAAAATTGTGCCCCTCCATGAAATTTTAAAACCACAGATATACTGTATATGTTTATGTACAGTATACATTTAAAAAAGCAAGATTTTTTTTCTCCATCCTCACCCCCCTCTGCCAGTATAGCTGAGGGGGAGTGAGAAAAGGAAAGAGAGAGTGGGTAAGGGAGGAGGGAGATGACGTCAGCCTGGGGAAGAACACAGAGAACCCAGCAAGGACCTAGGATTTTGTTCTCAGTGTGACTAGGAAGCCATTGAACAGCTTTAAGCAAAGGTGTAATGTGACTAGTTTTCAGTTCTTAAATGCTCACTCTGGCCACTGTATGGAGGCAAGGTAAGAGGGGGTTCAGGGAGACCAGAAAGAAGGCTGGAGCAGGTACTCTGAAGTGGAGGGGTGGGGGAGATGGCTGGACGAACGCAGGGGCTGTGGGGGGCAAGAGGTGATCATGTTCTGGATTCTGGATGCATGGTGAAGGTCTGTGTGTGGGTGAGGTGGGGCTGAGGATAACTCCAAGGTCTTTACTCTACCCATCTAGAAGGATGAAGGGGTGAGAAGAACTGGTGAGCCCCCCACTTACCTCCACAGTCGAGGGTGAATGTGGCGGTTGCACCTGCTCAGCACACTGCAGGAAGCGGCGTACATGCTCTGCACAGTTTCCCACTGCTGCCTCATTCTGTCGAAGACACTCCTCAAAGGCCTCAAAAGGCTCAGCACAGGCCTGGCGGATCTGACGGATGATTGGGCTGTGGGGGTAGGGCATTTCAGGCCCCGGGAGGCTTCCACGCCACTGCCCACCTCCCCACACTGTCTCGCACTCGCCCACACTCACTGGGAGGATGTGCATCGAGCGATGCTCATCTTAAGGTGGTGACAGTCTCTCTGCCATGTCTCAGGCTTCGCTGCCACACACTGGCCATACTGCTCCAGCTCCCGGCCACAGTAGCGTGCAGTGACCTCCAGGGCCGCCTGCCTGTGGGGCATGGTAGGCTGTGGATAAGTCCAGGCAGCAGGCAGGAAAGGAAGTTGTGGTGTGGGTCTGGGGAGATTAGGGGTCTTGTACAGATCTGGGAGACTGAAGGATCCTGGGGTAGGGTCAGGGAGGTGTAGAAGTGAGGCATAAGCCCTGGGGGTTGTGCAGCTGGCTGGGGCTTCTGCGGAGATAGTGGAGGTGCTAAAAGGAGGTCTGATTATTCTAATGCAGGCCTTGGGGGTCCTGGAGGAAGGGTCTTGGAGTCTAGGCATCCTCCAGTAGGCCCGGGAATCATGCAGAGAAAGCTGAGAGCCTTTGAAGTAAGATCTAGAGTTCTAAGGAGAGAACCTGGGAGCCTTACATGGGTTTGGAGGTCCAAAGGTGAGGTTTAGCGGCCCAAGAGGTGAGGTCTTGGCCTGGAGAAGGTCTCTTGACCAGAGAGTCTTAGAGATGAGGCCTGAGGACAGGGCTACTGGAGATGAGACATGAGATCCGGGGTGGATTTGGGGGTCCTGGGGTGGGTCTCAGGGTCCTAGGGGCATGATCTGGAAGCCCTGGATGAGACTGGGGCTCTGGAGACAAGGTCTGGAAATCCAGAGGCGTCTAGCAACAAGTCTGTGGGCCCTACAGGTGCGGTCTGGGGTACTGGGTAGATCTGGAAGTTTCAAAACTAAGATTAGGTGATGGGGGGAGGAACTCGGAGCTCTAGGGACGGGTTTAGGACTCCTATAGGTCCCGAGACAAGCCTGGAGTCCTAGGGTTGCAGGATGAGGGATGCGGCCCGGGGACATGGGGGAAGAGCTTGGGTGTTGAGACTGGACCTTAAAGTTCTCGGTGACCACGAGAAAGACGGGCGGAGCCTAAACGCTCAGAGGGCGATGCCCAGACACGCGGACCGATGGGGCTTGTGAGGGCCGGCGCTGAAGCCTAAGGGTCGGATCTCTAAGGAACAGAGAGGCCAAGCCTTCTTCCTGGAGTTTGAGGCTAGGTCCAGGTCACTGGGGAAGAAAAGAGGTGCCGGGGTAGGTACGGGACAGGCGCTCCCACTACTCACATCTCGAGGCCGGTGCCAGTGGGTGATCAGTCAGGTAGGCACACCCCGCCTTTTCTGGTGTCAGGTTGTCATGGCGGCGCCCAGCCCTCCTTGCCTCTTTTTTTCCGGTCGTAGAGCGGCCAAGCGGCCCCTTTCCCTTTAGGCCAAACCCATAATGGCGGCGCCCTGCCGCTCCTTCCGGTCTGTAATGGCGGCGCCCTGTATGCTACTTCCGGTCCCAGGCGGCTCGGTTGCTTCATCCCCTTCTGTTTCCGGCGGCGCCCGGAATTCACCGGAAGTAAGTAACGGAAGTACGGGCTTACCTCTGCCCTCAAGCGAGTGCGGCGCTGGACCATAGCCCCTCGCGTTCTTAGCGTCCCGACTGGAGCTGGAGGCGAGCGGCTGTCGCTGCTGCGACCCCTCAACAGGCTGCCGTTTGTGGCTGCGCTGGACCCCGTGGCTACCGCTGTCCCCCCTTACGCATGCGTTCACTGCTCTCTCGGGAGTGTGGTTCGTGCGCTTAGGAAGCCGGCGGGCGGGGAAATCACCCCAAGAGCCGGAGCAGCCGGCCTGGCCTGCCGTCTGCTCAGCCTGGGTTACCCAGACCGTGTCCCCTCCCGCTTGGCATAAGCTCTGAAGCCGAGATGGACGTGAGTTTAATCTTGGCTCCATGCCGCCATAGGCAGGTCTTTGTAATTCCCCCGGTGTGGTAGCGTTTCCACCTTCTCGCCTGTCTTCCGGTGTGAGGCGTTGGACCGACTGTGAGGCTGGGCATGAGCATCCGTTGGTCAGAGAGCTGAGCATCAGTCCTGCCGCCTGGTATGCAGAGGTCTCCCCAGACTCCAGCCAAAATGAACATAAAATGCAGTTAGTCATAGTGTTTTAAGAGGAACAAGAGCTATTTATGAGCTAGTGACGACTACTTAGGAGTCTCAGTGTGCTCGTCTATAAAATGGGGATACAGACAGTGACTTCCTTCATGTGGGACGTAGTGCATGTGGAGGGGTTAGCCCAGAGCCTGGACCCTCAGGGGCTCTGGAGAAGTGAGAGCTGTTACAGGAGGCTGTAAGGAGCTGCCTCATTTGGCATTGACATCTGAGGATTGCACCACTGGCCGCCTGAACCTGCCTCAGAGGACGCAAGTAGGTTTGGAGCCATGGGCACTGAAGGAAAGCTTTTCACCCCAAGGCCCTGTGTTCTCCTTCCTGCAAGCACTCCCAAGTATATTTTTGGTAAGAGAAGAGAGGAAGTGAACGGCATCAAGGAAAGAGGAGTCTTCTCTGTGGCTTCAAATGTGGACAGAATCCTCAGATTTTCCTCTCCTGGGAGAGTGAAATCTTAACCTGTCCCATGCCCTCTCCCTGAGTCTTAATCCCAAAGTCCAGATAATGTGCTCCCTCATGGGAAGGGCTTCAAACGCCTGGGCTTGCTGCAAGTAGGTCCCATGACGATCCCAGCAGGGGACATCCCCCTTGGGGAGTGTGACACTGGTGCGCCTAAATTTCTCATTGCCTTTTGGCCTGTAGCTCAAGAGTGTAACTAACTTCCTCTCTAGGGGTCGAACGTAAGGGAGACCTAAGTGACCATGGGGTTTAGAGTGAAGCAGATCTGGGTTTGAGTCTGAGGTCTGGACAGAATACTTCTGCTCTCTGGGTTTTAGTTTCCTGCAGAACAGCTGCTTCAGGATGCCCTTGTGAGAGGCAACTGAGATGACGTACGCAGAGCACCTGGTGTGGAACACTCTGTACTTTCCGTTTCTAGGCTTATCGGAGTTTGTTATTGTAGGTACTTGTTTGTTTGCTTTATTTCAAAATCCTGTGAACCCTGTGAAGGAGGGAGCCTTGTGTCTATCTCATGGTCATCAGCTGGGTTCCCCACTCACAGCATGAGGCCTCGCAGAATAATAATGGAGTGAATGAAACAATGTGCTCACAGGAGTGCGTGAGGATAAAATGAAATCCAGTCATCACTTGTATGGTACTGATTAAGTGCCGTCTATGTGCCAGGAACTGTTCTAGCTGCTGGGGAAACAGCAGCGACTAAAATAAAAATGTATACTATTGAAAAATGATTAAAAACCACAGTTTATGTGATACACACAAACTTTAACACTTCTTGAAGTGGACAGTCTTCATTCTGTCAGCAAAATGGGGTGGAAGGCAGGAAGCTTTTATAGGATAAAAAATAAAGAACAAACAAAAGAGGAAAATAGAAAACATCTGATGGGCTGGGGCCACCCCAGTCAGCCTTGTTTGGGGTGACAAGGAACAAGGAAGTAAGTCTAGAGCCCAGAGTTGGCTGGGCATTTGGGGATTGGCTGAATGGATAGCCTGCGTTTCTGGTCAAGCAGAGCATTACAGGGACATGAAAGTTATCTAAGTTTCGGTTTGGCTCTCTGGACAGGAGCGGCTCCATCTTGGGCCTAGTTCTTTCAACAATACCATAGTGGAATTTAACATTCTAGTGGGCAAGATAGACAATAGTCAAAGTAAACAAGAAAAACATATGTTAACTGAATGGTGAGTGTGAAAGAGAATGGTCAGTCTGGGAAGGGAATGGGAAGTATTGGGAGAGTGGCAGTTTTTGGTAGAGTGTCCAGGGAAGGTGTGACACTGTGATTATAATAAATATTTGGTCTTCTCCACTGTTGCTGGCATAGAACTGTTAAATTCCCTTGGAATTTCCTGAGTGATGAGAGGGACAGAGGTGTCTTTTGTTATATTAATGAAGTGACTTTTGTACCGAACCTAAGGATGGGGCTGGTTGCCAGGAGAACCAACCATGTGATTAGAGGGTTGGAACTTTCGGTCCTATCTCCCTGACCTCCAGAGGGGATGAGGTTGAGTCACTCGCCAAGGGCCTGTAGTTTCAGTCACTCATACCTCTGTAATGGAGCCTCCATGAAAACCCAGAAGAACAGGGTTCAGGGAGCTTCTGAGCTGGTGAGATTCAGGAGAGTGGTGCCCTCAGAGAGAGCATGGCACCTCTGCACCCTTTCCCCATGCCTTGCCTTATACATCTCTTCCATCCTGAGTTATATCCTTTTATAAGAAACTGGCAATCCAGTCAGTAAAATGTTTCTCTGAGTTCTGTGAGCCACTCTAGCTAGTTAATCGAACCCAATGAGGGGGTTATTGGAACCTCCAATCTATAGCCATTCGGTCAGAAGCACAGGTGACAACCTGGACTCACCGTCATCTGAAGTGTATGTGAGTATCGGGTGGCGGGACCGGCACTTAACCTGTGGATCTGTTGCTATTTCTGGGCAGACAGTGTCAGAATTGAGTTGAATTGTAGGACACCCAGCTGGTGTCCGGAGAATTGCTTGGTGGTAGGGAACACCCTCACCCCCCACTGAAATTGGGTGCAGAACTTTAGAAGACCTCACTGAGATTACCAGTTGAGTAAAGACCTGAAGAGGGTGAGGGAGTGAGCCGCAGGGACAAGTGTCGCAGACCGAGCAAGTGCAAAGGCCCTTAACTGAGGCAGGAACATGCAGGATGTATTCAGGAAACAACAGGAGAGGCCAGTTGGGCTGGAGCAGAGGGAGCCATGTGGCGAATGATAAGAGGAGATGAGGGCCAGATGGCGTGGGGCCTTGTGAGCAATTCTAAGGACTCTGGCTTTTACTCTGAGTGAGATGGTGAGTGGGGCCCTTGTTCTGTGTTTTTAGTAAGCTTCCCAATGTAATTCTACCCATAATCACATTTGAAGATTCAATGAGAAGCCAGAGAGGCAAAAAGGAGGCCCCTCCTTTAGGCCAGTTCTTTCTAGAAGGGAGGTCCTAGTATTGTTACCCTCTATAAAGCAAAAACACTCAAAAACAAATATATGAAAACAAAACTCACCCTTCAGTTAAAGATTCATTTGGTTTAAAAGTACTTTTTTAAAAATACAAGCCCATTTGGGCAGCGTTAATGATGGTGTTCTTCCTAAGGCCTAGCTGCGAATAGCACTGAGAACTAGGGGAGGAAGAATCAGCTGTTTGATTTTATTCGAGATCTGCAGACTTCAGCAGGAAGAGAGGAGGGTGTGGTGAAAGGGATGGGAGAGAAGAGCAGGTGGTCTGGAAGTGTCATGGGAGGGGGACTGGTCAGGGACAGATGTGAGGGCGTGGCAGAGTTGTTTTCTTAAAATTTTCTTCTTCAGCTTTATTGAAGTATTACTGACAAATTTGGCAAATAAAATTGTATATATATTTAAGTTGTACAATGTGACGTTTTGATACACATGTACATTGTGAAATGATTACCACAATTAAGCTGATTAACATACCCATCATCTCATATAGTTACCATTTTTTGTGTGATGAGAACATTTGAGATCTATTCTCAGCAAATTTTAAGTATATGATATGTTATTATTAACTGTAGTCACTCTGCTGTACGTGAGACCTCCAGAACTTATTCTTCTTATCACTGAGTTTGTACCTTTTACCTAACATCTCGCTATTTCTCTCACACTCCAGGCCTGGCCACTACCATTATGTGTCTGTTTCTGTGAATTTGACTGGCTTATTTTATTTATTTATTTTATTTTATTTTTTTTGAGGAAGATTAGCCCTGAGCTAACATCTGCTGCCAATCCTCCTCTTTTTGCTGAGGAAGACTGGCCCCAAGCTAACATCCGTGCCCATCTTCCTCTACTTTTTTTATGTGGGACGCCTACCACAGCATGGCTTGCCAAGCGGTGCCATGTCTGCATCCAGGATCCAAACCGGTGAAGCCCAGGCCACCAAAGCAGAACATGTGCACCTAACCGCTGCGCCACTGGGCCAACCCCTGACTGACTTATTTTAGATTCCACATATAAGTGAGATCATTACAGTAGTTGCCTTTCTGTGTGTGACCTATTCCACTGAGCATATAGTCCTCCAGGTAGGGCATGTCAGATTTGATGAGGGGCAGGGAGTGTGTGATTTGGGGGAGGCGGGGCGGTGCAGGATGGTGGATAGGAGGATGCACTTGCAGAATGTGAGCATCCCAGAGGGAGTTTTAGTTCAGAGCTTTGATCTGCAGCCAGACAGAGGGCCACCACTGATGGCAGCACAGAAACGACTTTGGCCAGGTGATTACGAGCTGGCAACAAAGTGAGTCTTGACCCTCGGTGCCCTGAAGGGGCTATGTGGCAGGAAGTGATGGTGCCTGTGCGTGTAGTGATTTCCCAATGGGGCGTTTGGGAAGGGCGCTGTAGACTGGGAGAGGGTCTCCTGGATTCACAAGCGCTCCTTCTCTCCTCTCAGGCCACTTCACCTGCCACTTTCAATTCTTGCGTTTTCCCCATCCTGCCTTTTCTTGCAGGCTCTCTCTCCAGATCTTAGGTTTATAGGGCCTGACAGGGAGGGAGGCAAACCCTGAGAGCCTGGTACATGTGAAGTCTCCAGACTGTGAGGACAGCAGTGAGTACTCTCTCCCAGCCACATTCCATCTTTTCTCACTAGCCAGGTGCTCAGTGACATAGGACTTTAGGACCATCCCTCCTCTGGAAATCATGGCACAGAAAATTGCTAGAGGAAACCAAACCCTCTGACTTTGAGGGGGTCTCCTGGCTCTTGCCCCCTTTTCTCTATATTAACCCCTTAATTAAAAAAAAAATGAGTGAGAAAAATGAACACTTTCCTTGAAACTTAGCTTCCATTTTCTCACTACTATCTCTTGCACCCCATGCCTCCCAGATTTATTCTTCCAGAGCCCAAAGCCTTGGGATTCCTGGGAACTGCAATAAATTTTATCCCTGGCTCCTGCTTCTGGATTCCAGCCATTTATCAATCTAGGCAGGGGTGGGTAAGGCCTTGAGAAGGGTCCACCTGTTGGGTCCTGCCATGCTCTCACACAGCCTGTATGCCCTGTGTCATGCTGGTGTGGGAGGGTATGGGAAAGAAGCAAAAGCCATGCTCTGTCCTAGAGGAGTTGACAAGCACTAGCTGAACAACCGTCCTGCGTGATGCTGGGCATGCTGCAGGTAAAAGGAGGACGTGGTGCCCTCATGGCAAGGTCTGCCCCAGACTCTCTCCTGCCCCCTGGGAGGAGGAGGAGTGGCTCCCTCCTAGGGACTAGTCTTAGGCAAGATCTTGCCCGCCCACTCAGGGCAATTCCTTTCCTGCCCTGGGCTGTGCTGGGCTTTCTGGTGGGCCTGGCCTCCTGCTCAGCGCTGCCGGTGCCTTCCTCACCTGCTGCAGGTGCATGGGGTCTGAGGCTTAGGAGGAGATGCAGATTCAGGGGCTGTGGCGATGAATGTGTCCCAGTGTTGGTCTGCTCCAGGTCCCCCGGGGCTGGGAGCCACAGGTCGAAAGGGAGACTTGCAGAAACTAGTAACAGTTAGAGGGTGTTGCCCTCACTTCTGTGCCTTTCCTTCAAGAAGTGGCATTTGATGTTCCAAACAGCATGCTGCACAGCTTGGTAAGGAAGAATGAAGGGTGAGAAGGATTACTTAGGTGGTTTGGTTCTCTTATGGGCTGTCTGGGCCTCTTTGCCTCTCCATCACCAATCTCAGTATTAAACGTTCTATCCAGATGGGAGGTGTCCTGGGAAATTCCATATTTAGAGCCCACGCTATCTAACACTTTGCTCCACAGGGATCTGAGCCTCGACTGTATTAGTTTCCTGAGGTTGCTGTGAGAAAATACCACAAACTGGGAGGTTTAAAACAACAGAAACGTATTCTCTCACAGTTCAGGAGGCCAGAAGTGCAAAGTCAAGGTGGTGGCAGGGTTGATTCCTTCTGGAAACCGAGGGAGAATCTGTTCCATGCATGTTTCCCAGCTTCTGGTGGTTGGCGGCATTCCTTGGCTAGTAGACACATCACTCCAATCTCAGCCTCCATTCACAGCACCTTCTGCGTGTCTCTCTGTGTCCTCGCCACTTCTCGTAAGGACACCAAGTCCAAAACCCCAGGGGACACTTTTGCCAACATCCTTTTCCCACAGGCTGCACTATGATTACTGTCCGTAATTAACGCTTGTAATTTGAAAGTCTCATCAGGACTAATTGGCCCGAGTGGGAGGTGTCCTTAAGCACGCCTTTCTCTACCACCTCTTTCATGGGTCAGTGGCCTCTTCCCCACCCATCCGGTACTGCTTCACCCACACTACACATTTGGGCTGGGGATGCCAGGGGAGACCCAGATGTGTACTCATCCCACTGCCACTGTTCTCATTATGGCATGTCCCCGGTGGGAACATCCTTTACCATCAAGAGAAGTAATACATACACTTGCAACGTCTATTTTTATAATACACCTTGCAGTACCAGTTACAACCACTTGGGTGAGTGGCATGTCCATTAAATAAAACAGTCTAGTTTCCAGGGCCACAGCAGGGTGGGCAGAGTTGACTGGTAGGGTTGGTACAGCAACACTATAACCTGAAGATGTGTCAGTAGTGCTGTGGGACCCCTGACAGCCATGGGTGGGGGCGAGGGGAAGTCTAAGGCCAGATGTCCGTCTCCTAGGAACAGGTGGGGCCAGTGCAGGTGGGGCCATGGGAGGCGGCCTTTTTTACAAGATGAATGGGAAGGAGTCACAAGTGGCTTCTCATTAGAAACACAGAGTCCTTTATTTGATACGAGAAAGCAGTTTTTTGGCTGCTGGAGGGATCCAGTGCTGTGGATTTACCCCTGTAGTCCCTGTGTTCTTATCTCCGAGGTGGGCTGGGCCTGGAAGTCTGGTTTCTAGCAGGACCCAGGGATGAATACTCCCGGGAACCAAACATATCATTCAATTTTGTGTTTACTTCTTTCTTTTCATTTAAGATATTCATAAATTCTGTTGTTATGCAACACTCCATTCATGGATATAAGTAACACATTCAGTTTTAGGTTTATTAGCTCCATTCTTTCATTGAAGATATTTTTCTGCACTCTTTTCATAGAGATGCATAACATATAATTCAATCTTTTTTTTTTAAAAGATTGCCACCTGAGCTGACATCTGTTGCCAATCTTCTTTTTCTTCTTCTTCTTCTTCTCCCCAAAGCTCCCAGTACATAGTTGTATATTCCAGTTATAGGTCCTCCCAGCTCTGCTATGTGGGACACTGCCTCAGCATGGTTTGATGAGCGGTGCCATGTCTGTGCCCGGGATCCAAACTGGTGAAACCCTGGGCCGCCCAAGTGGAGCGTGCAAGCTTAACCACTTGACTACGGGGCCAGCCCCCTAATTCAATCTTTTGAATATATCTTTCCTTTAAGTAGATTTTTTGCTTGTGTTGGTTATTTTTTCATTTATTAAGACATATGCATTTACGTATATATGAATTTCATGTATATATGGATCTTATGTATACCATTCTTGTTTGAGTAGATGTATTCATTTGGGTTTGCCAGGACTCCATTCATATAGAAATGAAACATCATTCAGGGTTGTGTATGGCAGTTTGTTTCATCAGATACTCATTTCAGTTCTGCCAGCAATCCATTCATAGAGAGAAAGCCTTTCATTCAGTCTTGTTTCTAAATCTTTCCTTTTAATAGGTGCAATTGCTTGTATCCTACTAACACTTCAGATATCTGCATTTGTCTTCACAAACACTTCATTCATGGAGATAAAAACACATCACTCAGTCTCATTAGATACTCTCACTGTTGTTATACCAACATTCAATTCAGAGATGAGTAACCCATCATTCAGTTTGTGTGTACCACTTTTCTTTGAGTAGAGTCATTTCCATTCTAACCACTTTTTATTGCAGAGATTTACAATATGTATTGAGTATAGATGTTTCCTTTCAGTGGATACCTACCTTCTTCTGTTACTGTTTTCTACCAACATTCCATTTATAAAGATATATTTCATATCATTCAGTTTTGTGTATAAATCCTTTCTTTCAGTGGATATATTCATTTAGACTTACAAACTCTTCATTCACGGAGATATAAAATGTATAATTTAATTGTGTGTATAGGAAATTCTCTCATGATGATATGTTAGTGTTCTACCAACATTCCCTTCATAGAGATACATAGCATGTAATTGAAGTGTGTGTGTGTAGTTTTTCCCTCATTATGCAGAGATACATATTTATTATAGAATATTTTATTCTCCTTTTGTTCAGCTACTTCTTTTGAGTAGATAATTTAGTTTTTATAGTCTATTCATAGAGATAGATTTCATATTCTTCCATGTTGAGTATACCTCTTTCATTAGATATATTTCTTTGTTCAGTCACATAAATAAATAATACGGAACTCAATT